AGAACTCCTTACCCCTTGTCAGAGTCGTCTGGTGTGTGTCGTGTACCTATACCTACCTCTACCTCTCTGGTGGTCGCTGCTGCTGCTGTCTGGTGGAGTCACCTGGGATCCAGTCTGGTTTTGAAGTCAGGCTAGAAGTGGGAATCTTGTCAGAGTCGTCTGGTCTCATATCCCTGACATCTGATCTGACATCTGTGCTGGTAGGGAGTAGTAGAAGATAGGATTGAGTCAGGGATTTGTGGCAGACTGCCGCATGAGAAAAGAGAGTCTAAAACATAAGTAATCTGAACGAATCTAATCTCTACTGAAGCTGTGAGACTCTAGTCCATCCCTGTGCAGAACATTAGACTTGTTAGTAATAAAAGAAAGATAAAAGAAAGATAAAAGAAAGGAAAATGAAACCAGACAAATGTGAGTACCAATCCCTTGTGTTGAAGTTGAAGACAGATAGCAAGCAAGGTAGAAAATGGGAAAAAGGCTTATTGTAAATTGAAGTTTAAAAAGTTTTGAAATTCGTCATTTTTGAAGTAGCGATATCCAGAGTTTGAAAGAAAAAAAAAAAATTTCCATCCTAGATTAGATCAAGGATAATTAGTGGTGGTCTTACCTGGTGGGACCAGCCTAGGGGTACCTGTGCTGTGTTCCATCATGGACGATTACCCTATGCAAGGGTTTTTGGCCCTCTTCGTTTTGGTAGGCATCTTGTTCAAAGTCTTCTTTCCGCTTGGTTCCGTGAAGACATGCACCTCTCGGATGATGATGAGATCTGGTGCTGTAAAGCCAGGGCGCACTCCCACAGAACAGGCTGAACTGGAACGCCGCCAGGCTGAAAAGAAGAAACAGGAAGAAAAAAAAAAAAAGACAAAGAAGAAGAAATAAAGAAGAAATTGCAGATGGAAGAAGAAAGAATGTAAAAAGAAATGAAAGAAAAGTTAGAAAAAGACTTGAAGGAAGAACTACAAACTATAGAAGAAGATGAACCTCTTGATGATAGACTCATTAGGCGATGGGCAGAAAGGGGAGAAACTTGCCAGACAGGTGGGGGATTCCAAGTCAAACCGTTGGATTGGTATGATCAATATGAATATTCCAGCGATCGAATTGAAGAAACAGAGGAGGAAAGAGATGTTCATTGCGAAACTGGCATCCATTAAAGACCAAATGGAAAAGAGAACTCTTGTTGGAGGAAAAACGTGCGGACCTGCATATTAAAATGTTAGCAGCGAAGCGATAAGAGCTTGGCGAAAGGAAAAGGCTGCAAGTAGAGGGTGCAAGGCTAGAAAGAGAACTGCAAGACCAGAAAGATAAGGAAGCTGCAACAAAAGAAAAACTAGCCCTTTTGACAGAAACAATTCTACATACAAAGCAAGAGCTAGAAGCAATGAACAAAACGTTGCAGAAATTTGAAACACACCAATATGAGTTTGAGGGAGTTTGGAACACCTTCTTGCAAAAGTCCACGAAAGATGTTGATGAGCATATACACAATCATATATTCAGAAATTAGATGATCACATCAACCATACCTTTACTCCCGTCGTAATTGAAAAGATAATTTGTGGCAGCGGCGAAGGAGGAGGAGATGGAAACGAAGATGGGGGAGATGGTGACAAGAAAGGAAAGGGAGTGCTGCGAGAAGACGGTTGAGATATAAGAAAAAGTAAAGTTAAAAGTGTCGTGGACCTACACCGGCAAAAAGGAGGAGAGTGTTTTACATTGGATTGCTGCTGTTGAATCATATGTATACGGACAACGCATCCCCGTATTGGGCAGAGTCTTGATGGTCAATTCATGAATGGCCGGCGATGCGATGAGCTTCGCCATATCGTTGCAAAAAGAAGCTAATTGCCAGACTATGATCGAGTATTAACAGCAAACAAGAATCGGACTCTTGAAGGCTGTTAGAGAACAATTTGAAAATAAAAATCTGGCTCGCCGAACAGAAATGTGGATCGGAAATGGAAGAGTGCATCTGCACTCAAAGCAACAATGGATGAACTCTTACAATGCGCTGAACATGGACTCGCTCCTACTCAGATCCTCAATAACTTCGCTAGGGCACTGCCCGTCCCTCTTCGTACTCAGCTTTATCCTCGCACAAAGGAGGAGGGGATGATATACGAGAAGTTTAGCAAGATCGCTATAGATCATGCTGGCTTCTTAGCCGAGGCTAATTATTGCCATTACTCGAAAGATCTGGAAGCGTGTAAGAAATGGCAAAACCGCACCATCTCAGGGAACATACATGGGAAAGACAATCTTTTTTTTACCTTTGAAGGAGGGGTCCAAACTCTCTCTTACAACCAGATAGATTATGGTCTGTAGGGAGGACCCAACTGTTCGGTAGTTAAAGAGGGGGACTGCGCGGCCGTTGCAGCCTGCGGGGGAAGGGCGAGAAGGAATAGGCCGTGGCTGAGGAAGAGGAGGCCACGGACGTGGTGGAAGAGGACCCGGTACTCGGAGCGGTGGTGGCGAAGGTAGTTACTACGTGGGTGGAACGGGCAATGGTCCCTCGCAAGGTGGTACCTGATGAAGAGGAAGAGGCGCATGGTATGGTACATGGGACAAACCATATCCACCCCATCCAGGTTTGCCCAAAGGGGAGCCTTGGAAGAAACTGGGGAGTACAGAGAAAGTTTGGCAGGACAGAAATGTCGCCAATCAATGCCTCAAATGTGGTGAACCCAACCAGATCGTTCCCTTCTGTCCGGACTACAAACAACCAAAAGGGAACAGTCAGTAGAGGTTTCAGTTGCCTCTACCGGAACTTCGGATGTAAATAGAAAGACATCCTCCCATCCGACGGTTCCTCAGTCAGAAACTGAAAAGATAGACAGTCCCCACCTAGTACACTGTCCAGAGGTAGTAAGTGTGTGTACCTCTCTAGGTGGATCCTTTGCTGGCATGGGTGATGAGTTGGCCACTCGTCGCCAAGCTTGAACTGAAATGAAGAAACAAAAAGGACAATTAATAATTGCAGATCTAGAAGTAAATAAAGTAAGAGTTGGAGGTATGATTGATAGTGGGTCAACACGCAGGTATGTAAGTAAAAAGGTAAAACAGGTAGATGAGCTCGTAATGAGTAAGCTAGCTAATAGTACTGTAACTGTAATGGATAAATATGTTGAAGGGGTCCAAATATACTTCCGGCTCGAAGTAGAGGGGAAGGTGGAACGAGTTCTCCACTCTCTGACTCTCTTGGTGGAAGATAATCTCCCTTTTGACATTCTATCTGTGTGATGACATCTATGCCTGTGATGTGTAACACTCCAGCAAGCTGTGAACAGTCAGGTTCCTTGCACTCCACTCATTTCCCTTCAATTATTTCCCTTTTCTTGTAGAGATACATAGAGTGCTACTAGTGTATGTATGCCTCATTGCCTTCTACTCGTTGCCCCCCTGACCCCATGACCCTCTGCACCTGCCCTGCCGCGACGCCAACCCCCACTGACCCCTGCGTTCCAGGTCCCCAACAACTCACTGCCTGTCCCTGCTTCCCACCTCGGCCCACGCCCGCTCCAACCGGCTTGTCCCCCCCCTTCCCCGCCACCACACCCTTGTGCAGCCGCTACACTGTCCCGTCTCACCACCAGGCCCGGGAGAAAGCCCTTGACCTCCGTACCCGCATACTCCTATACCCTGGCACCCCCACTCGCATCCGGGGCTATCCCGGCCCTGCCAGGGTGGATGCCCTGGGTGGCCCGGAAAGCAGCTTTTGGGAAAAGGCTCCAGGGGGTTCCCTGCTTTGCTGCGCACCCCAGCCTTCTTTTTTTTGTTTATTTATTGGTTGGGGAGGTTCTAAGCCCGGGCCTGGTGGTGCTCGCCTGCAGATCCCCGGACACCAGCCGGGGGTCGACAACTCTGAGAGAGAGAGAGGGAGAAGAAAAAGTGTAACAGTGGGCAGGAGTGAGGAAACAATCCTCATTTCTTTGGCTTCTCTGTGTTGTGCAACCTGGTGGAGGGCGATGAAAAAATTCATAGCAGCTGCTGGTACAAGACTGCAACGGGATGAAGTCGTCACTTGGGGCAAAATGGAAACCCGTGTCTGAAATTTAGCATCAAAACGATCCTCATGCAATCTGCTTTTGCGGTTGCTACAATGAGCGAGTCAGTTCGCTGAAATAGTTTCGGAGTTGATGCTTTCACCCTTTCAGTTCTCACGGCTTTCCCAGCAAGGCTTGGGATAATTTGCCATTGACTGTCAGGGAACTCTACCCATGCTACATGATAGTGCGCTACTTGGTCCAATGTGTGTGTGTGTGTGTGTGTGTGTGTGTGTGTGTTAGTTTGTACACGTGTGGACTGACCTGAAATTGTATAACCTGCCTTGGCCTATTGGTCCTGGGAGCATTAGGCACATTTGTTGGAAAGAATTCTCTCAGTACGGAACAAACCAAGAAGAGTAAGCGTTCACAGACTCAGGCATTCTACTTCATTGCAGGTAATACGAGCAAAGGGTTATCGGCTTTAAAGAGGGAAGGGAAGGCAGAAGGAGAGGAGAGAATGGAAAGGCAAAGCAGCGAGGCACAGCATGTCAAAAAGAGCAGCAAGACAAAAAAAAAATGTCAATTTGTCAAATAGGTGACACCCAAAAGAAGGGTGCAAGGAGGTATACCCAAGGAATGAATGTCAAACATGCAAAATCCACAGGAAGCAAGAAAAAAAAGGAAAAAGAACAAAGAGCGAAATAAAACAAAACCGATTATGAAAGATTGTTTCGTCGGACGTGAACCTACTCATCAGGAGGCTGAACCCTTGACAATCTGCAGATGCAGACTGTTGGTTTCCACCACCTGCTAAGCAAGGGAACCACTACCAGTAGACCTCCCGAATTGAGCACCCCTCTAATAGTGTTACAGGCACTCCAAACAACTCCCTGTCCAAAAACTTTATCGCTTCTTTTGTGCACTTTCTTAGAAAACTGATTGTGTGTGTGTGTGTGTGTGTGTGTGTGTGTGTGTGTGTGTGTGTGTGTATGTGTGTGTGGTGCTCGTGTGTAGGGTGCTTTTTCACAAGTATGGGAGGTCTGCGGAGTCATGAAAATCCTACAAATGTGATGAAGCCTGTAACTCGGGTAGACAGTGCTGGTGATATTCGACCATCTATGTTCAAGGTTGACAGTCAGCAGTCTATCAAGCCTTCGCTGCCGAAAGTCGGAAGTGATGTGGATATGTATTTCCCATATGGCCAATGACTGCGTTTTGTAATGTTGCTGTACATTGAGTCGGTTGCATGCAGAGGTAGGCGCATCGATGCAACTTCGAGGAGAATGATCTTCTCTCAATTCTCAAGGTCAAGGATCACTCTCATCATTGCTGCAGAAGTAAAGCACATATGTGCAAATTCCAGGAGAATGGATTTTGTTGGGTGCGAATAGAAGCAAGCACATGAGCATAAGGTTGATTTTGTCTTGTATTGAACTGATGGATTGGAAGATATGCTTGAGCAGCGGCTTTATATGCTTTGCCTGTGTGCGAAATACTGATGCTGCATCCCGTTGGGTGCTCTGTGTGCATTTGTGGTGGTGGCGGGAGTCTGTGAAGGAAGTGCACTACTGCCGTCCGGTCTGTTTCTCTGGTTCGAGGATTTAGCTCAGTCGTGCTTTAGTGTCGATGTGAATTGTCAATCATAACAGCTGCTGATTTGATTAGTATTCAAACCCTCGCCAATGTGAATGTGTGCTACCACATGAGTAGAAATTTATGCCCTTTGTTTGATCAGATAAAATGGATCTTGGTCATTTTGGAAAAGATACCAATCAAGAGTTCTTGGTCTGATGGATGAATCAGAGAACCTCTGCTTAAGAGGTTAAAATCCGTTAGATTCTAAGAGGACTACCTGTCATCGCTTTCTTCTTTCTGAATGGGTAGTAAAAGGAATCCCTCCATGAAGGAACACGGAGACCCAAAATTTGCATCTCAAGAGATCAATTTCCTTTTGGAGTACTCGTTATGGATAACCTGTAACTTCCCATCTGTGACCGAACCCGCAACTGAACTTTATGGTGTGTGTGTGTGTTTTATATTTCCCCCCACATTGCTTGTGTATCGATGCTTATTCGCAAGGAGTGAGGATGCCTGTGTGCATGTTGTGCATGCAGTGTGTGTGTGTGTGTGTGTGTGTGTGTGTGTGTGTGTGTGTGTGTGTATGTGAGAGAGAGAGAGAGCATGTGACTTCATCGCTGTCAAAGACTCGTTGGATTGGGGGTTTGTAGCAGTTTGTGGGTCCTGGCTTCGAGGTAATGAAATTGTTGGAAGCAAACCACTTTTGTAGATGTGTATTGCAAATATAAATAAACCATTTTGAAACATTTTGGGCCTTTTTCAGAGTGGATTGAATGTGAGCTAAAGGATGGGATAAGAAACCTCAAATGGGAGATGTAAGGCATAATCTGGGTGGTGTTATTTTTTCTCCTGGTCGTCTTTTTTGTTTGCTTTTGTTGGATTATGTGATTTGGTTAGTGGTGCGTCCAACTCTGGCGGCATATTGTTGTTGTCAAGACAGGCACGCGGATTTTCTTTTCTTTTTCTTTCGTCTCTCAAATTCAGCTTTTACGACCTGGGCTATACAGGGGACCCCAGCAAGCAGAGCAACCTTTGAATGGAGGGGCTGCATTTTGCCCCCTGCCCTAACTGCGGGGGTCAGGGAGTAGGGTGTGTGGGCCTGGCGAACACGAAGACCGAGCATTTTGCCTGTATCTGTCCCTCCCGCTTCTTCTTCCCCCACCTGCATCAAGTATCAGCAGTGTCTAAGGCCAACACTCTTCCACACACCGCACACAACCGACGCGCACATAAATTCACACCCGTATTGGCTAAAGTTCGTATTAGGGGGAGCAGGGCGACTGTCTCAGCTGGTTGGCACCAAGCATGCTTCAGGTGGCTAGTGAGGATTGAACCTACCATTTTTCCCGAATGCCACTTGCGTGCCTAACCAACTGAGCTAGGCGTCTTACTTGGCCAGGCAGATCGAAGGTTCTGCATCGCATCTTTGTTGAGGTCGGGAATCACTAGCTCACAAATGAGGTGTGATGTTTTCCATTTGGAAGGAAGATAGGTGTCGGTCTTGCATCCTGCTGATGGTTTGCGGCGATCCGACTTGAGGATATGTAATTCAGCTGGAAACGTATTTTTCTCTTGTCTTTTTCTCTTTAACATGATCTATCCTTTCCAAAACTCAGCTGGAAACCAGGCCAGCTGCTATGAAACCATAAAAGTTGGCAAAGTTGCTGCATGGGATGATGGCCTGCATCCTACCAATGCGACTGCTGCTGAAAGTGCGGCGCCTCCACCACCATTATCATCACGGCTTACATCACCATGATCACCATCACTGCCACCACCACCATCTACTTAGAGAACACAACTGCCCCACGTTCTTCCTCTTCTTCGTCCTCCTACTCCCCTTCGCGAGCCTCCCCTGTGTCATAATCCTCATCATCAATGCATTTGTGCTCAGATCAGACGTCACCGAGGCCTCATCAGCGGATGCCTTGATGGTCAGGTCGGCTGTCACGGAGGCCTCCTCAGCGGAGATGGTCCTATCTCCACCAGCACCTACTAGACAGCGCCCCCGTATGTAGTTGAACACAGGGCTGTAAACCCGGTCCCACCGGGGGGTCCACCCCCAACCGGAACTGGGCCGGTTGCCCCCCGGTCGGCTACAGTGCATTGCCGAAATGTGGCCGAATCAAAAAATTTTTGGGCCAGTAGGCCCCCACGCGGGTTGTAGGGGCCTCCTAGTGCTAAAACAAATCGAAATGGGTCCGGTAGGGCAGCCTCCAAATTTTGAAAAGGGCTGCCTCTCTGGACCGGTGATCTGGAAAGATCGACGGCCCAGGTGAGGCCTCCCTTTTGGAAACTTGGAGGAGGCCTCCGGCCTTCGATTTCCCGCCTCGCCCTGACTCACCAGCCGTTCCGCCAAGAAGCCGATGACCACACTGTCGTCGCCCGTCGCCGTCGTCGTGCAGCGAAGCCAGCCCCTCGCTAGACAGCTCGCCGCAGGTATGTTTTCTTCTTCTTCTCCCTCCTCCCGCCCACCAGCGTGCCACAGTTATGTTTCGTTCTTCTTCTTCTTCTCCTTACATGTATCGAAGTGTAGGCGTGCGAGAAGGCGCTCGGTACACACACACACACACACATAGAGAGAGAGAGAGAGAGAGAGAGAGAGAGAGAGAGAGAGAGAGAGAGAG